TTGTGTTTTTTTAGGGCTCATTCTTTTCACCTTTCTTTGAGGGAAGTACAAACCTTACTGTAGGAGGATGCTGTACATGGGCTGTTCTCAAAATCATGGGCCCCTCCTAGGTATAGATTATATTACGGCACCTAATATTCAGGGATACCAAAATGGGACCCGGATTTTGGGAACTCCCCGCATGGCAGCGGTACATTTATCCCAAAGTGGTCCCAGAACATATGACCCTAAGTCTAAACTCCTTAAAGGGGGGTGTATATGGGATTATATAGGGGACTACTATAGGGGTTATTAAGGGGGATACTAGGAGTTTAGACTATAGAACATATAGCTTGGTCCTAAGCCGTTTGGATGGACACTTTGGAATGGTGTTCCGAGACTATTCCCTCACGGTAGTAGAATTTTCTGTTAATCCTTGCATACTTTGTATAGCTGCGCCCACAACCCTAGTCACGCCCCAGTCTAGTTTTGAGAAGCCCCTACGTGAGGAACCATGAAGGTTCGGAGTGCCACTGCCTCTTTTCAATTCCTCAAGCCCTGACCCGCGGTCACTCATCCTCACAGTACCTGTCCTAAAAAGGAGTTGCTACTCGAGGGCGGCAGGCGCTGTAGCTTATTGGGTTCTTCAGAAAATTTTGCTAGCCATGCCATCTACCATGTGTATGCAATCTTGAGGACCCCAGCTTTGAATCGGGGCTCCCAAGCTTATGACAAATAGATGGGGTTCTCCCATGAGCTCCTGTCTTGAGAAACCCCCATATTGCGGCTTGTCGGTTTGTACCTATGCCAGGCATTGATGTCTAAGACCTCTCAAGGTGGAAGTACCTTCAAAACAGTCTCCATTGCAAGCTTTCTAGCTCACGGGTTGCAAGCGAAGTGAACTCATGCTCGGCTCTGCAGCCACATCTTACTGGTGCTTAGTAGGGGGAATAAGGGATTATAATCCCTTTCGAAGACCCTATATTCCCTTTCTCCCTACTAATCCCCCGGTACAGAGATTGAGTTGCTGCTTGCAGGACTCCTTCTGGGATGCTTTGTGTGTTGTGGGTCTGGACGAGATTGGCTCGCTGGGGTCCCTCATGATCATCATTGGCTTCGTCCTTTGCTTTGGTGCCTACCCCTACATGCGGGAAGTCGTAAAATCTCCACTGTAGATCCTGGATGTCCTGCCTTTTTTGGACTATGCCCAAAAAATAGCCGATGATAATGTAGGACACAACACAACAGAGCAAGGATATACAGGGTCCAGGCCAAGAATGGCTTGTTATGGGAGGAACACCTGAAGGGGGCCTAAGACGTCTGAGAAACCACCACACGTGGTGTAGGAGCTAAACGCTGAAACTATGGCAAGAAATGCATTCCGCTTCTGTACTTCACGAGCGCAGGGAGTGAAGGTCAGATGCTTTGAAAGAGCGAAAATCTAGTGTGTAGCCCTCAGAGAGGTTTTTGAGACCATCCTATACGCCCTCCACCTAGGCGCAAAGCATGCGTGTGACTTCTGTCGGTGGATCAGCATGCATTGTACATGGTGCTGGGGAACCTCTCCCATATGGGCACTGAAATTGCTAGATCCGGCCTGCCATGGGAAATCATGTAAGGCTAAGATGTAGTCATCCAGAAGCAGTCTGCCTGCATCAGGTATGCAGCTTCTTTTCTGTTGGGTTGTCTATGCATCCTTTCTGGACAGCGATCCCAAATATGACTTGCAGTACCTCAAGGAGTGGCGGGTAATGTACGGACACAGCGTTCTATCCTACGACGTTGCATCGGGGGCATCGCTGGTCAGCAAGGTCTGCGAAGGTAAGGACTTTGAACAGGACTGGTGGAACAACAACTTGCTCGGCGAGACTGGGACAGATCTCGGTAAGTTCTGAAGCACTTTACACTAAATCGCAGAGTAGAACATCCATCAGGGCAACTCTTCCATGCTGGGAAGGGGGCTAGTTCGACCTCAAAAAGTTATAATGCAGCAGCAGTAACCACAACATGCTTACGCAGGTTACGGATTCATCTGGATTGCTTTTAGAAGGGGGGGGTTATGTAAAGGATAATGGAAAAGAAGCTGGAAACTACTCTTTAGGGTTTAGGGGTTAGGGTTTAGGGCTTGTAGTCCCCCTTAAGTAGACAGAACATGGGGTATATGGGGATCTTATTATAATATTTAGGGGCATCCCACACTCGGCCAAGTATATGGTAAGGGCGCCGGAGCTCTTCAAGAACATGCCTCGAATCCTATACTCGAACTAAAAGCGCTAAGCCCTAAAACCCCTAAACCCCAAATCCTAAAACTTGATTTTTTTGTTTTTTTTCTTTGGCTGCCTCCAGTTCATGAAGCTTAGGAGATCGACCAATATCTTATGCCCCTATTTGAGACCTTCCTTCCCAGTGTGGGCGTGGGTGTGATCCTTGGCCATAGAACGGATGCGGGAGTTTCATCAAATTAGGGGTACCTTTTAAAGCGGGATATGGGGCTTACATAGGGGCTAGATGGGCATGTGTAGGGTGTAGAACTTTCCAAAAAAGAGGGGTCCCTTTTTTGGGGCCCCCATAATAAGGATTGTAGCATTTTGGGGTTCTATATTGGGATCCCCCTTTCATTAATGAACACTGCCATATGATATGCCTAAACCCTATAAACATCCAAGCCTAGGTGGGAGGGGGAAACCTTGAACCTTAAACCTTAAGCCATGCGAAAGGTTTCAAGGTCTAGGGTTTAGGGTCCATGTGAACCTTGCCCCTTAGAGACTTTCTGCGGGAAAGCCGGGCCATCTTTGGGTAGTTTTTACTAAGGCTAGTCATTAGGTGGACCCCCCAGCCAGTAATAGTGGCTATAAGGGATAACAAGGAGGTCCTCTCATATTCCTTTTATACCAGTATTACAGGGTGGGGGGTCCTCCTAAGGTAGTCATCTTGTGGGGGGTTTTCGGGGACATGGGGGTAAGCCGTAGTTTTGGTGTTCTCATCCAGGGACGTGTAGATTTGGGGTCGTGTTGCTGAGGGTTCTTTGTCCAGAATATCAGTGCTACACTGGGGGGGGGGTCTTCTCAATATTGTATATCCAATTTTGGGCTCCGCGTGGCAAGTACTTGCTTTGCTGAAAACTGCCTTACTAGCTGGTTAGTCGCGCTTGACTCCTTTGGGTTCCTATACGCCTCTTATAGGGAGAGTCAGCAACTGGGACCCTAAACCCTAAAACCCTAAACCCTGCCCTAAA